TGAGCAGCTAGGATTACAGATGTTTATTCTCAATCCTGGCTCCACTGCATAACTTCCTACATTTATGAAATTTTCCTTGAATTGGAATAAGCAATCTAGGAAAGCTGGAGCTAGAGTGCACCAAATAACGCAGCAAGCAAGACTACTCTCTGCTGGGAAATGCAGTCAAAATTAGCTATTGAGCACAATTGTTTCTTGAGCCGAAAGATAAACAGCTAGGTTTTCAGCATCCCCTTGACAGCACCAAACCAAAATTATGGACATTTACTGTGAGAAAAGTCCTTAAAACTGATTAGACCCAACCCTCTTATTTTCTTGATCACATATGGTCAAGAATAAAATTATTACAATCCAAATACTCAAGAACCAGCTGCATGCTTGTATTAGCTCATACATTTTATAGAGATTCTTTTTAATATACATATGAAACATGCTTTCAAAGTAAGCTGAAGGCAATAAGAAAAAACAGAAATCTACATTCTGATACCACTAAGTGGAATTAAATACTGTGGGAGCTCTTACATAAAGCAACTGTCTTACATCACAGGTCCTTCCAACTCCAGTAACAAGAAAATTAGGAGTCATTTCTTTAAAAAATAAAATAGTAGTTAGCGGCTGGGAAGATGGCCCAGTGGTAGAGTGCTTGCCCTGCATGCATGAGACCCTGGGTTCGATTCCTCAGCACCACATAAGCAGAAAAAGCCGGAAGTGGTACCTGTGGCTCAAGTGGTAAAGAGCTAGCCTTGAGCTGAAGATCTGAGGGACAGTGCCCACTCCCAGAATTCAGGCCCCACCACCAACAGAAACAAAATCAAAAACAAAATAGCAGTAAGCACAATTAACATTCATAACAAAGGGGGAAATAGTATTGAATAGTTTAAAATAAATAGCTTGGTGAGTAGGAATTTGTATTAAATTGGGGAGTATTTGATTTTGCTTAATTTTGTGGTAGATTTTAAGTAAAATCGTATAAATCCAGTATCTGACTCTTTCCAAAAACTGTGCTAGACCATTCATACTTTCGGTGAGTGGGATAGAAAACAAAAAAGGGACTTTACTTTCTCTCTTTACTGCCTTCTAAACTCCCCACCTTTCCAGTGTATTACCTTTGTACTTTTATTAAGCACCAAGTTAAACGTTTTTTCCAGCAACTTAAATTAAGGAAGGCAATGTTCTACAGCAGAGAAAACACAACTAATTAGAAAGAGAAAAAAGATCTGTAGCCAGGCCTCATCTACCTGTATGGCCTGAGAAAGCCCAACACTCTAACTCTCTTAGGAAAGTCAGAGACTGTTCCCACTGGGCATTCAGGGTTTATATCAAATGAGCTCCATTTACCCAGTGATCTTTCATCATTCAGTACATCCATCAAACACGAAAGAACAAGAAGAACTAAACAAATGTAAAAGAGCCCATTTAATTACTAAATTAATTCCCACCTTATAAAAACATATACTTAACCAAAAACTCAGAGTTCTGAAAATGTTGCATGTTTTGAAGAAAAATGGAAGAATAAAAAGACAAAATAGGTAAAGGCCCAAAACCTACTACTGAAAAAGCAAATAAATGCCTGTTTTATCAGAACACTTTGCAAAACGGTCACATGATTTTTTAAACCTTATATATCATACAAAGTATGCCTCAGCTAAGGTTAGGCTATTGTTTCATTTCTTTCTCTCTCTAAACAATAATTCCAACGCTTATCTCTATAATGGCAGACATGTCTGGATACAACAGTTTTCTTTCCAGTTTAACATTCATCCTATAACAGAAAAAAATAAGGTGCACTACTGCACTTTCTTCCCCGTTTTGTGTGACTAATAATAGGGTCATGTAGTTACCAAAGCAGCTTTTTCATAATTTATTAGTAATACACATTTCTCTATTTATAGTTTTCTCCCCAACTCATCCTTCAAATAAAACATATTATTAAATATTAAATCTTAGAAGTCTTTTTTACCATTTAAAATATGCCCAATTTTCAAGTTTTAAAAGGATGTTCTTTTTCTTATGCCTCGTGTATAATGGATAATGTTTGGCTAAGTGTTACAAATAAATTCTTTCTACAAAAGAAATCATATTTTCCTTTATTATTAAGATACAGTCACTGAAATATTTAAGCAAAGTTTCAGGAAACAGCCTCACCTCTTCATACCACTGATCTGTTCCTCTTACTAAAAGATTCAAATTTGACTGCACCAAAAATTGCTAGCTTAATAGCTCCTAGGGAAGACAGAGCACGTGGTCACCACAAGGGAGCCCGTGACAGAGCAGAACTGGCTCAGTCCTTGGGGCAAGTACACAGCAGCCACTGCCTATTAATTGAGAGAATGTGCTTAGATGGGAGCCTCATTCTTCCTCCTACTTATGCATTTAAATACCCCGCTTAGAGCAGCGCAGTACACGCAGGGGTCATAAAAGATGGTGAGGAATCTCCTTCAAAGCCTTTAGGCTGCTGTCCAGGCAGTCTTCTCTTTTGGTGCCGGGTCTGTACCGTTTTTCTATTGTTCACAGCTAGACTACTCAGAGCCCACAGAGGCCCAGATTGAAAAGATGAACATCACTGTTTTTGTTTCTTAACTACTTCACTCTTCACATTAAGCCTTTACACTCTACCCTTTTGTTATCCTTTCCATTTGGGGTAGCGGGGAGGTGGGGGGAGGAGAGAAAGAATTGATTTACTTGCTAAGATTAAGGCAGGAGCCTAGGTATTAGATTGTTCCGAACTCCTTACAAACACTGTGACCTTGGACATGTTACTTGTTCTCTGGCTCTCAATCTCCTTCCTGAGAATTAGGGATCTGTCCCAACTACCACCCCTAATGAATCTCACAGGACCGCCGTGGAGTACTGAGACTCAAATCACTGTGAGTGGTTTGCCAAGGCCCTCCTCTCTGCTTTTAAATACACTCCTCCTCCTCTATACTCTAGTATAACATAGTTCTCTAAGACTCTATTTCCTAAGCTATAAAACCAAAGAAAATAATACAAAGCTGCAGATATGTAGTAAAGACTGGCATCTCAGCAAATGCTGGTTCTAATTTACAATTTCCACAGTGACACTATATTACAGAACATCTCAACGTTTTATCCTACCTTTGCAATCTGTCTTTCAGTATATATCCAAATCTGTGCTGCCAGCTCTAGGAAATAAACTTCCTTTCTGCTGGTGCCTTCTCTTGAAGTGGAAGGGAGATGCCAACTGATTAACCTCCTACAGAGAAGCTAGAGACCACCAGAGATCACCACAAAAATACATCTTAACACTAGTCAGAGTGTAGGTTATGCTCAATTGCCTAAGAGTTGAATATGCTCTAGAATAAAAAAGTTAACAAGATTACTCTGTAGATAGTCAATGCTAAAATTCCTTGAGAGAATACAAAAGGCACCAACTGAAAACAAGCCATGTTGATAAAATCTACAGAACCAAGGAGGCGAGAATATCTGGGAAAAGTTGTACATGAATCACAATGACATTGTTGAAAATTCTGAAAGGGACCCTCAAAGGAAAGATAGGTTTCTCTAAAGATTTTTCCCAACCCATGCAGGCTTTTAAAAGACTTTAACTTCCTAGACCACACTAAGCAAGGCTCTGGAATTTTTTAACTATTAAACTGTAACAAAATATTATAATTTTCCAGTCATTACTAGAATAATATCAGTCTATAGCCTCAGTTAATTTCATAGCTAATCTAAGCTTCCGTCTTATAGAACTTCCCCGATGTAGACAAAGCAAATTTAGATATTATATATGTTTCATATAAGGGTAGGGCATGCATACATGCACTGAGTTCCTAAAATACTGTTTTTACTGCGTTTTCCTCAAACTACAATCCTTCTGATCTCTGCTTCCAAGGTGGCTGGTATTATTTGAATATTTGCCTATGATTGGTCCTGGAATATATTACATATTTTTAATTAACATTCTGAATTAAGTTCCATTCAACTGATGAAAAGGTTCAGATATCAAACTCTGATCTATAATATTTTCCCACTTCTGCTCCTCACATGACACACTGAAAACAATTTCTGGAACCTGATGATCTCTTTCAAAGGAAAGACTTCTCTATAACAGCAGCACCCAGCAGGAAGGCATATTCAGTATTAAGGGCTGAACTTAAACCCACCCATACCACAAATGATGGCTAAGAGATTAGGACTGCTTAAAGAAGTAATTCATTGTCCAGGTTTTACACTAGTCAGAGACTGTGTTAACCAAAAGAGGAGCTAATAGGGGGAAAGGAAAATAGGGGAGGGGATGGGTCATCAATCCATACTAAATAATGTTCAACATTTTAGTGAACTTGTGCACACACAAACACCAATCCTAGGGCTTTAACTTGGAGCCTGGACACTGTTCCTTGACTTTTTTGCTCAGGGCTGGTACTCTACCACTTGAATCACAGCTCCACTTGTAGCTTTTTGGAAGTTAATTGGAAAAAGAGTCTCACAAAAGTTCTTGTTTGGACTGGCTTCAAACCACGATTCTCAGATCTCACCCTGGCCAGGAAAGTCCAAGATACTCTTATCTCCAACTAACCAGAAAAAAATCAAGAAGTAGAGGTGTGGCTCAAGTGGCAGAAAACCAGCCTTGCTCAACAAAGCCTGATGCCCTGAATTCAATCCTAGTACTGTGAGGGAGGGAGAGAAGTATGGAGGGAAGGTAGGGAAGAAGGGAGGGAGGAAGGAAGGAGGGAAGGAGGGAGGGAAGAAGGGAGGGAGGGAGGGAGGGAGGGAGGGTGGGAATTATATATAATGGTCCAGTTCCAAACAATGTAATAATAAGTGGTTGAAATGTGCATATAAAGACAATCAACTTTGTAGTCCTGTTTTTAATAGCCAACAAAACAATCCAGTATTTGATCCACTATGAACCAGGATCTATTTTAGTATAAAACCATTAACATAACTAAGAAATAAATACCCTGATCTCACCCAACTTGTCCCAAAGAGAGTTGTGATCACATAAAGGAAACCAAGAGAACTGTAAAATGCCTCACCTCTTGTTGACTGGCTTTTCATCCTTCTCATAGGGTCGAACAAACCACTTCCCAATCCTAACGAAGTTCTTATCCATTAGGCACCTACAATAAATATATCAAGAATTACTTTTATAGGTTCAATACTAAATTAGCAAGTCACTGAATAATCTCAGGTGAGATACACCAACAAAGAGACAGATATCAGCAAATAAACTGTCAAAAATTTACAAAACTTTTACATTATATTTACTTCAAAGAAGTATCACCTTTGCATATTACCTTTACAATTAAAAAAATTATGCTCATGGGGAAAAAACTATCAGAATAAACCAGTTAGTTCCATAATTCCTTGCATTTTGGAATTACTTCAAATCACATTTCTGCATTATTTCCCTTCTTATGTCATTAAAAATGTTAGAAACATGATGTCAGAAACATACTATTTCCTCAGGAATATTCTTCCAAGCCACTAGGATCTATCTTGCAAGTTTTAATGTTGTTTTCTTGGCCTTAAATTTGTTTCTCTATTTGTTTGGCTTGGCTTATGATCCTTAGCATAGATCTCAGTAACAAAAACACAACAGAGTCATCTACTTGGGCATTTCCTTTAGAGGGTATGGGAAAGCAAATCAGTTTGCCTCTGCAAGAAGATGAGGACTCCTGATTGTTATCTTCAGTCGTAAGTACTTGCTTTCCTCCTAGACAAGCTATACCTCACTTCCATTTCCATGCCATGTGTGTGATTGGCTTTCACTGTCAAATCACAGGGTAGCTTTAGAAGACGTGTTAAATAGTAATTGAACTCAACTCTTACAACACAAATAGTGCTCAACAATTTAGCTAAAGTGACAAAAACACCGTTAAAACCAAGTTCACTCATGTGCAGGCAAATGACTTTTACAACCTAAATGCCATCTGGCCAATTGTGAGATGTCACTGATTATAAAAAATATCTGTAATTTAAAAATAAAATAAAATTTGTGAAGGAAGTGTGCATTTTGAAGTTCATGAAATATAGTAATCTCTTAACACCACTCAATGAAATGACACATATTTTGTTAAGAAAAGCTGTCAAAATGCTGCATATAATTCTAGACAAGGTTCTTCCTCCCAGGAAAAGAGCTATCTAGCAATCCTTTACTCAATATTCAGGCAATTCTGCTCATGGCTTTTGTCTCTGTAATTTCCACACCATCAACAAGAATGGAAATAGTTCACAAACTCTCAACCAACTCATTACAGGTTAAACGGGTTAGTAAATGGCAGTAGTTTCTTCTGGCCACCATGTAACTCACTTTGGGTAGAGTCAATTTAGGACATTGTTATCTCAAAATGTCACTGGCTTCATCTGGTTTTATTCTGAAGGAAACAATCTTTCTTGTTCAAAAGGGTAAAAATTATTTTCAACTAATTCAACCTAATTTCCTAAGTTGAAATTTATACAAGCATGCTTCCTAAAGACTAGATGATGCCATTAAATTTAGGATAAGAATTACAGAACACCCACCCAACAAGAAGCAAGTACAAAGCAAAACTGAAAAAATGTTTCCATCGCTAGCCAAAAGACTTATTTTTAGCTAGCCTACATACCAGTAGTTAATCCCAATCAAGACCAAGTTTTTAGATACTAAGCTCAAAGTCCTCAATTCCCTACTGATTTTCCCCCATAGGCCAAATAGAGAGATATGGTGAAGGATAGAGAAAGGATATTTACTCCTTGACAGCTATGGGAAAATAGCACTAGAGTACATCTTTAACCATCTTCAGAGGCAGACATTGGGGGCAGAGGTGAAAATGATCCACATAATTAAAACAGCCCCAGGTTACAAGCATGGCTTCAGGTTATGGGTCAAGTAAAAGCTCAGTCTCTGTCCTTGGAGGAATTGCTTTATCACTGGAACAAAACAGAACTAGGTGCTCTCCTGAGTTTTGGGCAGTTTTCTCTAACATGCTAGGAAAGGGCTGCCTATCAGGCAGTTTGCTGTTACACAGAATGCTGATCAGTGGATCTTTCTTAGAGCTCAAGATCAAGAGTTGATCAGATCCAAGGGCACAGATACAAAGTTGGGGGACTTTAGTTAAGTCACAAGGCCCAGCAAAAGCATCTTTTAAATTGCCTCTTCTTACAACTCCAGAGTTTGGTATCAGGTTCTTTACTCCAGTAACACTGTCCATAAAGCACCACCACATCATGTCCAGGCACAGTGTATCACTTCTTGTAATGAGGTAAGGGATGGGTTTGACAGCCAAATTTTGTAGCTGAGGCACTGAGAAAATGTCACAGAGCTGCCATCAAGATCATATATCTAATCTGATCATAAAGGAGGGACATACAACTATTTCCACTTCTTCATTTCTAAAATCAATGGGATGCATCTCATAAATGAATTACTGTGAAAGCATTTGGATTCCTGGGCAGGGAACACTGTGGGGTCTGAATACAGGACTTTGCACTTGCCCAACAGGTGCTATTGTACTCTAGCGGATGCAGGTAAGCCCTATTACTCCCATCAGCTCTGAAAAGTCTGTAAGGTGAGGCTCTTTTACAGACCTAACCTCACCTGAAATGTACATTCTATTGCAATTCCACAGAACTATATCTATTCTAGTTTCTAATGTTTAGTATCTAATCCCTTTCTCTAATCTCTCTCTCTTTCTCTCTCTCTCTCTCTCTCTCTCTCTCTCACACACACACACACACACACACACACACACACACACACACACACGAGTTAACTCTTTCCCTATCCTGAAAGTATAAAATCAATAGAATATCTGACTCAAATAAGCAGATTTCTTTTCATACATTTACAATTAAGACACTTGCTTTCTGTCAGTTGTTTCTATAATATTTATACTTTAAAGTACTGCACTATAGGCCCAAAGGCTCATCCTTCTGCTTCTACTAAAGAACTTATGGCATTCAATAAAATGGGAATTTGCTGGTTATTCATTTCTAGTATGTGCTACCACATTATACCCCAGGACTCTCATTATGGCAATGTTGTATTATCATTTCTTCACTGCTCTCCAGTAAAGATGTGTAGTATTCAGAACTCTAAGCCACACAGCCATGGCCATTACTCAGTGATCCTTTGATGATAAACTCGACAAAATCACTATGTCTTAACTGTGAAAGCTAGAATTTTCTAAGTACCTTACTGTTTTCCTAACTGCAATTACAGTTTTCTCCACATTTTTATTTACTCTCCAAATAAAATACTAACTCTAAACACTAACTCTTGGCAAACCAAGAAGCTTTGAGGCAAGCTAGGCAACAGTGTTTATGCTTGTAATCCTACCATTCAAGAAGCTGAGATGTGAGGATCAGGGTTCGAAGCCAGCCCAGGCAGGAAAGCCTGTGAGACTCTCATCTCCAGTTCTGCCCACAGACAAAAGTCTCCCTGAGTAAGCATGGACATTATAGAGCACTGAAGATTCCAAAGACTCGGTCTGCAATGGCTTCAAGTTTAGAGGACAAAAAAACTGCTTTCCATCCAAATAAGCAAATGTATTTTATTCTAAAACCTTAGGACAATTAAATTATACTAGCATATATAATGACAACTTGGTAGTATTTCAACAACTAGACATTTTAAGTAGGTCTGCAAAAACTAAAAAGCAAGGTTTTCATTAGTCCATTTACAATGCTGGATTTGTTAAGTGCACACATTTTCTGTCTTTTACAAAATGCACAACTAAAGCTTTATTTCATTATAATATTATATAATAAAGATTTGGTATATCATGAAAACTTCTATCAACTATAATAAGAGAAATAAGCATTATGCGTGCATAATCCAAAAATGTCAAATGAAAAAAACTCCTGAAAAATGTTTTCTATAATCTACTCATAAAGTACTTTTCTATTATTGATAAGTATAATACAAATAAACTTAGAATAGAGTGACCTTTGAGAAAAATCACTATTAACACAGAACAAAATTTCACTAAATTAAAAAGACAATCTGAACTGGGCTGGGAAGGTGGCTCAGTGGTAGAGTGCTTGCCTTGCATGCCTGAGGCCCTGGGTTCGATTCCTCAGCACCACATAAGCAAAAAGAAAAAAGCTGGAAGTGGCACTGTGGCTCAAGTGGTAGAGCGCTAGCCTTGCGCTGAAGAGCTGAGGGACAGCGCCCAGGCCCAAAGTTCAGGCCCCACGACTAGATCCAAAACAAAAAACAAAAACAAAACAAAACCAATCTGAACTACTGCATTTTAGAAAGTGAGGAGAGAAGGATATATAAAATAAGGAAGGGAAGAAGGTAGACAGTCAAGCCAAATTGCTAGTAACAAGTAAATTAATAGTATTTCATCATCAAGGGTATTTTATGGCTCAATGTTTAAAAGAAAAAAGAAAACAGATAGCTGAGCAACTGGTGGCTCAGCTTTGAACAAAAACGCCAAGCAAGAGTGAGAGGCCTTGAGTCCAAGACCTAGTGGGTGGATGGATGGATGAAAAAAAAACATGCATAAACCTATCTTTGCTTGTATTTCAGAAACATTTGTGTTTCAGTCACATCATAAGGAGCTGTTTGGAGAACAGGTTATAAGCAAAGGGAAATACTCAATTTCTGTATTACTGATAAATTCTTTCCCCAAGTATATGCCATCTCTTCCCATCATGTCACCACACTCGGTCATTTGATTTTGATTTCTTCCACTGACAATTTCTACTTGGTTTTCAATTTGTGGTGAATGTTTTGGCCAAAAAAAAAAGTGGCAGAAATGGCATGCAATACTTCTGAACGGAAGTAACAGTGAAGTCTGTGTGAAACAGAGGACCCTTTAGCAGGGGACCTGAGAGGAGGACATAAAGCAGTGCTGTGGTCAATGGTTCATAGTGGATTTGTAACACGAGCAAGAAATGCACCTCTACTGGTGTGAGCTGGGAGGATCTTTCAGCTCTTCTGTTAATGCAGTATACTTAGGCTATCCTGACTGATGACACAGGCAAACAGCAATAATCAAAGACACATTCACACAATCTTAAAGCAGACCAATGGCAACCAAAATGGAAATGGGGCTTAACAGAAGGCTGACACAAAGGCAGAAAGTTCAACATTATATGATAATAACTACAAACTGGGGGAACCCACTCAGGTTTGATACTGCACAGGCTACCACATGGAAGCAGGGTTAGATGAGTTATACCGGATCCCTTCCGTGCCCAGATAGGATTACGATGAAGAAAACTGATTTCTGCTCAGTGTAAAAAAAGACTTTCTAATGTTAACTATTCTCTCAAGACAGAAAAGCTCTTCTGGAAATCTGTGTTCACATACCAAAAACGTCCAAAGAACTTACAACTATATAAAAAGGATATTAGGAAATGGGATTCTAGAATTTGCTATGTGGCTCTTAGTTCTTTTTCCAACACTAAAAATAGTATCATTTTACTAAATTTCTTTTAGCAAACAATTAATCATCCATTGAGTTCTTATAATGAGAAAAGTACTGTGCTAATCAAACAACCCTTTGTAAGTAAATGAAAGGTATCAGCAAGCCCAAGTGACTGACTGGGCCATGTCACACAATTAAGTGGCAACGCCAAAACCTAAAGTATTTCCTGTCAATGAAGGCAAAGAAGAAATAGACTAGTAGGTGTGTGTGCCCCTGGAAAAATATGTGAAATCATAGCCCAATATGTTAACATGTGCTACCTAATACCTTTATGGAAAAATTCATGGCAGTAATTTTTTTGTGTTTTAATGGATGGATGACTCTGACTAGATGTATAATAAATAGAGTGTAGGGCAACTATTGAAGAGTTACAAGAGAAATGAGAACATGAAAGTATGTGCTAAATGTTAAGTTACCTGATAATTTAAACAATTCTACACAGCATCCACACAGTAATACCTCAACACCAATAAAGTAACATGAAATGAAATGGTCTTCTTCACTGTGAAAATTACAGTGCGTGTTAATTTCTATGATGAAATTATTTGTAATAAATTGCTTCAGTGGCATCATTCTGTATGCCCTAGTAAATGTAGCCTTTTATAAAGATTAATTTATAAATAAGAGCTTCCCAAAGCGGTAAGTGAATTCCCTTTTAATTAAACATATTAGATAAATAGATATGCCTTACAGAAGCTTCTGTTATATGCACACTAAAGAAAACATTGGTTCAAGAAGTGCAGACCCTCTAAGGAATACAATCCTTGTGATCTATTTAGATAACCTTAATTCCTATTTTCACCCCAGAAACTCACACTGTCAGTCTACTTCAAATGAGTAGAAAAAAATTCTAAGAGAAAATTATCAAGAAAAGGGATAACAAAATGTATCTCAAGAAGTTTGTGTTGTAAACAAATAAAAGTTAGAGCAAGTGATGTGAATCACAGCTAGTGGGCATCAGCCTTTCCAATTTCTGTTGACAGTGAGTAAAGAGCCCCAGCCACCACCGTTTAAAATGTGTTCATGCCTCACAAGAAAGGTGACTGTAATTCATAAAACTTAAAGTGTGGCACAGACATTTTTCAACAGAACAAAGGAATTAGCATAGTTTTTCACAAGAATCTCATGCTCTCACCAAGGGCCAGTGGCTCACATCTAGCTACTCAGAAGGCTGACATCTAAAGAAAGTCCATGAGATTCTTATCTCCAATTAACCAACCAAAAAATCCACAAGTGGAGCTGTGGCTCGAGTAATAGAATGCTATCTTTCAGTAAAAGAAGCTCAGGGACAGCTCCCAGACCCTAAGTTCAAACCCCAGAAGTGGCACTTTAGAAAAGAAAAAGAAGAAAAAATCACCTCAAGGTATCCAGATAAAATATAGTAAAGGGAGCTTGATTATTATTTTCTCAGCAAAAAAAAAACTATTTCAATTGTCTCAAAATTCATTCATATAAAAAGATTCTGGTCTGCCTCATTTTCCAGTAGGAGAGAATTGCCAAACACTGACTGACTAAGAGTAGTCAGTTCTTAAAATAGCTGTACATCTACTCCAAATCTCAGGATATGGAACTGAAGTTCAGAATAAGAAACAGAGATATTTAAGGGGTAGGGTCTTTCGAGATGATGAAAACTTACCAACCATAAGCCATATTCTATAGTGACGGAGTCCATAGTTTGGGATGTCCTTTCACCTAAACATACCATCTACAGACTCTTCCATGAATGTTTTTAACTAACCCATTCTTTTCTATCTTAACAACTCCAACATCCTGGAACAAACTGTTGTATTATAAAGTAAGGAGGTACTCAAATAAAGATGAGGCTTATCAAAGGGACACCAACAAAGGGTCTCCCTAAGCCACACCTAAAAGAACATTAAGTAACAAAATAAATGATGAGAGCAATGACAATGGAATAAAACAGGAATTCACAAACTTATGAGCTTAAAAGAGAATGAAAATCTATCCTTACAAGGTGAACTCATAAAAACAGAAGGAATGGTGGCATGTAAAAACTAACATTACACAAAAAAGTTGAGATCTAAGGATGGCAGCTTGAAGCCACTCTGAACAGGAAAGTCCATGAGACTCTTATCTCCAATTAACTGCCAAAAACTGGATGTAAACATGTGGGCCTTGAGCAAAATAGCTCAGGGACAGCACGTAGGCCCAGAGTTCAAGCCCCAGGATTGGCACCAAAAATATGTAACACTGGACTGGAGATGTGACTCGAGTGAGAGCGCCAACCATGAGGGGAAAGTGACAGCGAAGGTCCTGAGGCCAAGCCCCAGCATCAGCACCAAAAGAAAATCCAACACCGTTGATGCCACTGACATCTCTGCCACCTTATCAGTGACTGACTGGCACAAAACATCAATTCTGGCTGGGAAGGTGGCTTAGCGGTAGAGTGCTTGCCTAGCATGCATAAAGCCCTGGGTTCGATTCCTTAGTACCACACACACAGAAAAGACCAGAAGTGGCGCTGTGACTCAACTGGTAGAGTGCTAGGCTTGAGCAAAAGCAGCTCAGTGTTCAGGCCCTGAGTTCAAGCCCCAGGACAAAGACAAAAAAAAAAAAAAAAAAAAAATCAATTCTATGGCATTAAACATAATCTTAATTTGATTATGAGCAATCAATAAATCTCAAATTGATGGGAAGAAGATGTGTGTCCTATACTCACCAAAAATGGCAGTGTCAATAAAGACAAATAAAGGTGGGAAAACACAAGTGCAACAACTGGCAACACCTGATTTCCACCATGGAGATGCCAGTGTTCCACACGAAATGTGTGTAGTGCTAACTAACTATAATAAATGTTAGAGTTTCAAAGTGACACTCATTTAAATGAGAGGACAGCCTTGCCCGAAAATATACACACAAATGTTCAAGGGGAAAAAAGCCCACATTCATTTTAGTCCATAAATGGTTCAGAAAACAAAATTAAAAAATAGTAAGAAACACATATACAATTGGAGAGGGGAAGCATATCAGAGTTCTGTGTACTATGACCAAAACTTTTCTAAGCTTCAATTACATCAAAATAGAAACTGAAGCTTTCTAGTTTACATATTGATACTGATGCCAATAAAGAAGTATTCCATCTAGACACCCTCCAAATACCCTGCCATATACCCAAGTGTTCAATTTTACTGCTGTGCTGTGTCTCTCTTACCTTTCTAATAGATTGTGGATCGCTTTGAAGAGCAGCGTCCTACATTCATAGGAAAGGCCATTTTCCCATAGTCCTTCTTCAACAACTGAAACAAGAAAAAGAAAAAAGAAAAAAAAAGAACCAGTAAAAAGGACATCCAAATTAAAAAAAAAAAATAACATTTTTTTCTAAAGCAAAGCTAATGAGTTAAATAATTTAATCAGAAAATGTTTCAGTACCCAGAGAAGGAGTAACAGAGGCATTCCCCACAGCCCAGTTTACTATTAAATATTTCATATTAAATTCCTGTTGGTCTCAGAAGAAAATGAAGCTCTTGCAATAAATGAGTGGCAAAATAAAATTAAAAAAAAATCCTAAAATACAACATTCCCCTTTTATAGTTTTGCTTATTACAGCCAACTGAAGAATGAAAACCAAGCTAAGTATTACAACCGCTGCCTAAGTACAAGGAAAAACTTCTGATACTAATCTCACTTAAACCGTAAAAGCTATTATCAGAATTTGTTCAAATTGCTGCTACTTGGCCTTTTTAAATACTCATAATCAAATACATTGTAAAAAATGTCCTATATGGTTTTTAGCAAGAGACAGTATCATAACAAAATTTTAAATAGCAATAATGTTCAGTGTCCAAATAATTTCTCATAATGCTCTAAATTTATAATATAACTTCTTTCAAACCTGCAAAGAAATTCACTCCTTGAAGAACTAAATACATGTCTTCAAGAGAAAAGCAAAACAAAATGTGGGGGTTGGGGGGGAGGGGGAAAGTGGCAGAGGGGGCCAATATGTCAAGTACCAAAGCAGCAATTTCCCAGCAGAATTCATGGAAAGATATCCCCTCGAATTCCTCAAGCACAACTGACATACTTTACTTCAAGGAGAAAAAACTGGGGGAGGAAGAGTGGGATAGGGCAGAGGGGAACATAAAGATTGTGAAACCCTGAAGAAATTCAAGCTTGCGCTTTTAGAATTCAGGTCACCCTGCCTTAAACAGTTTAAAAGGAGAATTACTTTCAAAGAATACATATTTCCTCTGAGCTATGATACACATTTCCTTTTAATGTATCATATTGCAGCAACAGCTGAAATGAACGTCTAGACATCAAAAACACTTCTTACTCCCACCTACTGCTTTTTTACCTCAGGCATCAAAACTAATGAAACCTATTATCCAGAACATTGAGCCAAGCTCTGACACTGGCGACTGCAAATTTTGGAGGGGGAGGGGCACTTTTCAGGGATGGTACTTCTTATTCAGGCATTTAGACTACCAATATCAAATTTTGCTCCAAACTCCAGAAATACATATGGTTTAAAGTAAGGCACATGAAATAAGGAGACTGTTTTCAAGATTCCACTGACAGGCTGGCACTAAGACAGGTTTATAATCTGCCCATTACCTTTGTTTTCAACCTCTATCTCCAACATATTACAAATGTAGTCTAAAGAGACAAACTTTTCAAATTGTATAGCTACTTCCAAAGAAGTACAATAAGCAAACATTATAAGAACAAAATATTATCAACTTAATCCTATGGGCTCTATCAAATAAAATACTTAAAAGAAAGAGAAATTTCAATGCATCAGATTTCTTAAAAATTGACAATAAAGCCAGGCGCCAGTGGCTCATGCCTGTAATCCTAGCTATTTAGAAGGCTGAGATCTGAGGACCGAGGTTCAAAGCCAGCCCAGGTAGAAAAGTCCCCATGAGACTCTTTATCTCCAATAAACTACTCAGAGAAAGCAGAAGCGGTGCTATGGCTCAAGTGGTAGAGTGCTAGCCTTGAGCACAAAGATGCTCAGAGACAGAGCCCAAGCCCTGCGTTCAAGCCACAGGACCAGCAAGAAGAAGGGAAAGGGGAAGGAAAAGGGGAAGGGAAAGGCAAAGGGAAAGGGAAATTGACAACAAAAATTTAACCAAGAAAAATAAGGCTACATCAACTTCAAACTACAGCATTATGCCTTCAAAAACAATCCAATTATTATATTATACCATTGATTGATCTTGGTTATATTGCCATTGATTACCTTCTAAAAACCTGTATTTAAAGTCATTAACTAAATGGACTTATTATCAGCAAATTCAACCTAGTTAACAATCTGACTTCTTGAATTGCTCATGGGTAATAGAACATTTGGTTATCAACTAAACAAATCTATGTTAGAAATGGATTATAACTTTCCCAAGGTCAAGTAAAAGTGGGGAATCGGCCCAGTGGCTCACACCTGTAATTGCAGCTACTCAAGAGTCAGATCTGAGAATCACAGTTCAAAGCCAGCTTGGACAACAAAAGCCATAAGCCTCTTATCTCCAATTAACTAGCAAAAAGAGTTGAAAATGGAGCTGTGGCTCCAGTGGTAGAGCACTTGTCTAGGGACAGCACTCAGACCCTAAGTTCAAACCTAGAAGCGCTTGTGCGTGCGCACATGCGCGTTCACACACACACACACACACACACACACACACACACACACACACACACACACACACACACACAGAATGGAGAAAATAATTAGGAATAGAAGACATATATCAAATAGTTCACTTGTTCTGACCTATTTGAAACTTAAGATGATTGTAATTGTTGACACCATCCAGTAGACAAAAACACAGTTGAGATTCAAAACTCTGTCAGTATAATGGTCTTCCTAAGGGATCTCTAATAGCACGGGTCCTCTGCCAGTTGCAGAATAAACAGAATTTTAATGGTGGCAACTACAGTGCATTTTAACAGTAGAGATATGACCCAAGTTAGCATTTCAATGGATCACAGGACTCCACGTAAAGGCCATGAAATTTCAACTGAAGGAAATAAAACTCAATTTCTAGGTAAATTGCATAAGACCTTCAAAAGACAAGTGGTACAGAAAGCAAGCTTCAATGTTCCTTTAATAGCTACATATTGAAAAAGAAATCCTACACAATGACTGCTATTGACTCTTAACAACTAAATTTGTCCCTATTCATTACTTATTCCTTTCAAAGATATTACTATTACTGTTTGTCTTTTAAAACTACTGTATGCTCTTAATTACCATGCTCAAAAATATATGAACAAAGAAGGGTCCAGAAAGGGCAATTACCAAAATTGATGGTTATTCTGGGTTGCTGGAATTATCTTGTCCTTTACCTCTTTGCGCACTTTCCAGACTTTCTTCAGCAAGCATTATTATTTTTATAAGCATACATATTTGAAATATTTTAAAGTAGGGCTACTGTTATTTATTAAGCACTTTTTAATTTAAAAAAAACTACATAATCAGAAATTATCAAGAAGCCCAACATCAGAACAAGAATGATCACAAGATAAAAGCAAACTTTCAAAAAGAAAACCATACATGTGATTCACTTAGAGCACTAACTTACATTTGAATCAATCAATGCTACAAATAAACATCTTTATAAACTTCTTATAGGACAAATGATATCATTCAAGATGGCTCAATTATTGATTTCAACATTGCCACAATTGAATATAAAGTTTAAAATGTTTTCTTTGTGTCGTGTGATAACCACACTCCCCCCCCCCACACACACACACACCAGCATACTACTACATGAACAAGTACCCAAACTGTCTTTTACACTAAAGCTCAAACAGTTGTCTATCACTGTTATTAAACTGAGTGATCCTTGAAGCTGTAACTGTTTGAAATGCAGCTGTCTCTTTGGCGTCTCTCCCCACCCCCACTCATCCAGCGTGTTCTTGCTACAACAATCTTAAAGAGCATTTTACAGAAGGCTTAGCCCTGGTTGAGGGCACTCTCTGGCGTGACCAAGAGAACATGGAAACACGATTCATTAGACACGCCTGGAGTGATAACAATGGTGTTGCTTCTTGCTGCTTTTCATTTCGTACATCAGGCCGAGACTAATGCATTCTCGTTACACACAAGCACATTTATGGATGGGGGAAAAAACTATAATCACCTTTAATTAAGAGACAGAATATTTTTCCTATATGAGCTGCCAGCCATACCAACATAGTAATTATTTTTTAACTGATAGGTTAAAATAGCAAATGCAGCAAAAAGAAAAGAGGGAGAACAAGGGAGAGCATAAATGTGAATGCATACTTATGAGGAGGAGGAGCTGGCTACTATGAAGGCTTGGTATGCAAGGGTTGCTTTAGAACTGGCTCTGGACCCACCTCCTTCAGTTCTAATGGATACTAGCTTGCCTTTGCCACACAGCCTGTGGCAAATAGATAAGACCCCTTATTAAGTGGGCTCCTCCTATATATTCATCTTGGAGGCAAATGTCAAAATTGTTTTGTCATTTTAACTATTAGTGACCTACCTTCTCTCTGCTTCTTTTACCATTAACTTACTTTTTACTACAAATAATTTGTTCTTTTGCTTTTGCTTTCCAGTTTTACTATTAAAATAATTCATTTTTTTATTAAAGAAAACTTGCTTTTATTGATTCAACAATTGAAAGCATAGAATAATCCCTTTTGTCATACAACCCCACAACCATCAGTGACTGCACTTGATGCGGGCTGAAGCAATAAATATAAAAAGCCCTAGTTTAAGGTAGAGCTTCATTCTATTTCAATATGCAAAGTCTATTTTTAATGGGATTTGAAAAAGTGGACCTCTGTCTAAACACTTGCAATTTCAGCCTTTTTAAAGTAAGGTTCATACAAGCATGCTGCTGGGTTATTAGTGGACAGTTTGGTGGTTAAAAAGGGGGAAAAAAAAGTATGGGACAGCAACTAAAAGATCATAGTTAAAACTGTGTTAAGTACATTAACAAAAAATTGCATGTTAAAAGAATTAAAACAGTAAAGGAATAAAAATAAGCAAAACTAAGAAAAAAATCTGGGTCAGAAAACATAAAATACTTGAAAACCAGATAATTACAGTTGGGGTACAACTCAGTGGCACAGCACTTGTCTAACAAGCATGAGGGGTTCAATCCAGAGCTACTGACTGCAAAAAGTGGGGAGGGAGGACTGCAAGAAAAAACAAATTTGTAACACGGAAAAATGAACAATTTTACACTTGAGTTTTAGAAAGTTTTTTTGTTTTTTTGATCCATGATATCATACCAGGTAAGAAACTCAAACATCTGCAACT